TAATTTACGGTTGGGTAATTTATTTTATAACAATGCATCAAATTTTACGAGCTTTTTATATGTTTTGTTTTTAACATTTAAATCTGCAAAATACTCTACATAGTAACAATAACATGCTGAATAAATGTAGCATTGTAGAAAGTAGCAAAAAAAATGTAGCAAAGTATAAAATAGCTGTAATTTTAAGTACAGCTTCTTTAAAATTGTACGTTAGCACAGTACTTGTACTAGTAAATGTACTTAGTTACTTCCCACCACTACAAACACACTGAAGAAAAGAGAAGATAGACTACATGATGAGGTTTAAGGAGAAAGCCAGTTCTTCAAGTTGTAAGAGAAGGTTTTATTACCAGTGCTATTTACATAGAAATAATACAGCCTTGCCCCTTTTCCCCCCTTTAATGCACACACACGCACGCACATGAGCAAGCATACGCACACCCCCAAGCATTCACACACACACACACACACACACACACACACACACACACACACACACACAAGCACACATACATACACGCTCACTTTTGTATCCAAGAATATCTCAGTACATCAGAAATAAGACACATTCTCTCTAGATCTTATACAATGTTCAAAGGAAATGCAAATTATCTGAAAACAATATTTCAAGTTAACTCATTGTGGACAAACAGCAGTTTAAGTGGTAAATGTGTTTGGTGTGAGACATGTCGTGTATGATGAAACAGAGCTGAAAGAGTAAAGACGAAATAGGTGTGAAATGAGGAACTGCGGGGAGGTTTTGTATTGAATAATATCAGCTAACTTGGGCTGTATGTCTCCTTTCAGAAGCAGCATTATAAGGAGAGATGAACATGAGGTTTCCTTTAATGTAGTTCCACAAAGGCTGACTTTTTCAAATAGGAGCCCTGATGACACTTGGCCCTGAAACTGCAGAATAATCTATTGGCATTATTTAGAAGTAAAAAAAAGAAAATAATAATAATTTGTCCTCTGCAGTACAAAGATGTTCACGTGCACACAGCCGGACTCTCTGCTGCTTTGAGCTGATTTTTAATTCTGTGTTTTAAGGCCACTAGATGGCAATGAGTGCTTCAGAGCAGACAGTGGTAATGTCACAGATGTTGTCTGCCCCCTCTTTTGTTTTCTCTCTTTAGAGGAAGGAGACCTCAGCTGTTGAAGGAGATTCTCCATTATGGGTTCAATGTTCTTTTGAAAATCATTTCCATTAAAACATGTTTTTTAAAAGGGACAGTAACAAAAGGAAGGTCAGGTGAAGCAGTCTGTAGAGCAGAACTATCAGGGCCGGCTGGGTGGGTGTGAGATTTGTGTGTGTGTGTGTGTGTGTGTGTGTGTGTGTGTGCGTGTGCATGCTTGAGTGAGTACAAGTGTCTGTATAATTGTGTACGTGTTTTGAATAATGGTATAGACATCCTTCTTTAGAGCTATGATCAAGAACACTTTTTGTGCATTAATGGACTTATAGCTGAGATGTTTGGTAGAGAAAGTCAATGCCAGAGGTGTGTGTGTATATGTGTGTCAGTTTCTACCAAGGAGCAGCCTTTGATTTGACAAATTCTCTTACAGAGGTGTACAGAGCGTTTAAAGCAGCGTTTTTTTAACTAAAAATATCGTGTCTTGATTGCCACATACGTGTTTGAATGTGAACATTAAAGCTGGTCCTTTGTCTTCTTTTTAATATTGAGGGTAGAGTGTGTTAGACAGGTGTGGAACAACAGAATGAAAAAACCAAATGTTGCTTTGAAGCAAAATGTGTTCAGAAATTAAGAGAACTAAAGATGTCCCCTTTGGCATTTCTCTCTAATGTGTTCCTAGAGCATTATACCTTCGGTAACATCAAGGGGAAGGCGAGAAGCATTTTTGCTGGGTGGAATCGCAACCTTTTTTTTCAAATAATTCAAGTCCAGTAATCCAGGAAGGGATATGCTTTGGAGTGTCTACTGGGCAGCGAATATTACTCTTTCCAACAAGCTGTCCCATTCTTTCTGTGTTTCCATCAGTTCGTCAGTGGTGAAAATCAGTTGTGATTTTTAAAAAGTCCTCCATAGAAATTTCAGCTGTACTTTTCACTCCACAATGTGGGTTGTTTTTCCAGTTCATCTCCTGAATTAACTAGGCTGACATTCAGCCCAGGAATGGTCCCTGTGGTTTGTCCTTTACCAGGCTGTGGTTTCCCCCATCTCCTGGCCTTGGTGGGACATAGGAGCGCTGTAGCTGGAGTTACTAGCCAAGGAGAAAGGAGGACTGGGTCCGCCCCCGTAAGCCTCCCCCGGGACAGGCTGCAGGGAGCTCGGTAAGCCCGGCTCCGGACTGGGGGTTTCTGCGTGGGAGATCATGTCCGTGAACCTTTGGTCATCTGAAGGGTGGTGGCCTGATCCCTCCATGGCTCCTCCAGAGCTGAGGATATAGGGGGACTCGGCCGGAGACTGAGCCTGCGAGGATGGGGGGCCGTGGGGGAAGAAGTCGTAGTTACTTCCTGGTGTGTAATAGTCACCTTGGTATTCTGTGGGGCGAGAGGAGAACACATGGAGTTAGACTCTCTATCAAGGACTTTGAATATACATAGAAACAGTCACACTCCCTCACAGCAGCGAGCTGATTTTACACACACCTCCACCCCTACCTAAGTGGTGAAATTGATCATGTCCAATTTCCAACCAACCGGTCTCCAACAGCCTCATTTGAGTGTATAAACAACTCCACACCTCTCCACCTCAGTTCTCTCGTCTTTCACACACTGCATTCATCTCCCTCACTCATTCAGCTCGCAGCCATGCGTGCACCGCGATGGATTCCCCTGCTGAAACTTCTGGATTTGGATGAGGAGCTCCAAAATGAGATTCCAGCCTCCCTGCAGCCCTGCCAGGTCCTGTTGGCTGCATCTCTCCGTCACGTCTGATCCAGCTTCCAGCAACATCCCTCTCCTCTACCTGAGCTGCACAGACCACGCTTCATTATTCCCAGCATGCAATCCAGTTAGGGCTGCAACTAACGATTATTTTCATTTTCAATTAATCTGACAATTGATTTCCAGATCAATCGATTAATCTATAAAATAGTGCAAGATCACAAGTTCCTAATGTGAAATCTTTACGTGGCTTTTGTCTGACCGACAACAAGATGTTCAATGTACAGAAAAATAATCGAGCATAAAAGCAGCAACTCCTCTCTCCTCTCTGGTAAAATATTCACCAATCAACTAATCAATTAACAACTCAGAGTCCAGCATTGATGCTACATCCCAAATCATTTTCCCCCTTTAATTACACCTCGCTCCTCAGGTTTGTCCTGCTGCTTCCGGCATTGCAGCGACTGAACCTTATCAGCTCATGGTTTCAGTTTTTTATCCATAGTTACTGTAGAGGCTCATCCATTGCTTGGCAGTTACTCCACTTCATTTTTACTGTGATATCAATTCTGCAGCATCACAAGACAAAATAGGAACCCGTCAATCTCGGAACCCGTCGGCTATCATCCAGCGACAATTCAGCCTCGGGGGGCAACGACCAATGGCTTCCGGTCAACAAAATCTTCCCTTGCCTACAGAGTCTGAATTCATATGCAGATTGTTGTTTTTAGAGGTTAGTTCTCTATCCAAACATCTCTCTCTCTCTGTTAATGATTTAATGATTTCAGAATATCCACACGCACAAGCAGCAGCAATGGCTTCTCTAGTCTGTAAATTATTCCAAACCTATATGGCTCTTGGTAGTGTCACTGAAAACCACAAATGGAGGGGTCAGGGAATCACAAAGATCAGTAGGATTCATCCTCTGTGGATGGTGAATGTCTGTAGAAAATGTAACTAATCAGTCAGGATGAAAGTGGTTGTCTAACAAACCAAAAAATATCTATTATGTATCTCATTTCATGACTGACGTCTTTCTTGTCTAATAATGTTCTTCATGGCAGTGCGGCAGCAAAAAGCGGCATATTAATGACAGAATAAAGCCCAAATTCCTTGCTTTCACTGAAAATCTCCAGCACACTCTGGGATTTACGAATATTCTTTACCCAACCTCTAACACTGACTGACTGCCTCTGAGAGATTCTGGCAAAAAACCTCTGAGAGGTTTTGGTCTCTGACATTTATACCTCAAATATTGTGACATTTGCATTCATAATTTATGAATTTACTGAATCTCAAAATGTTTTTTGAATGCTGTCCTTTCCAACCAGGATTCCAAGGTTTGGTTAACTGTCACTTAGCTATGCTTTTATACTTACGTGCCAAGGTTTTAAGATACTTGTCTCTATGATTTCTGCCTCGGAAGCGGTACAAGCAAAGTGAATGGTATTTTGTTTCTGCCGCTCACAGTACTGTAAGATTAGAATAAAAGAACACATATTTCCACAATGTCCAAGTTTTCTGGATAATTAATAAATTTCACTGTGAACAGTTTTAATAAGGACTGTTTGCCTGGTGGATCCAATTACCCCAGCTTACAGGATGTTCTATGGATCCAGATCGAGTAACAGGGAAGTTGTTTGATAGGGTTTAATAGACCTTTTCCAATGCTGTGAGCACTAAAAATAAAATTCTATTCACCTCATTTACACTGTAGGGGAGACAGAAATATCCGAGGCTATCCAAAACTAGACCTACTAGATAACAAGAAAGCAAGAAAGATTTGTTTTTCTTTTGCTTTTTGGGTGTACCGACCCTTTACTGTCAATCAGTCAACAATCCAATCTTGAGCACCAAGTCACTTTGAGATCCATCCAGTACAAACCGAGCAACTGAGCTATATTATAAGCATATTTGCCAAAAATGTCATATTAAGCATATTTGCCAAAAAAGTCAAAATATTCCTTTAATCCTAAACCAGGGGCCGATACCTCAAAACAAGGCAGTGCTCTACGTTCAACCTGACTGCACAATGATGCTTTCAACACAGCCACAGTCTCAAAGCAAGGACTGCGATGAGAATCAGACTTATGATGTAGTGCTGATACGGCAAAAGTTTGGGAGGACGGATGTTTTTGCATATTCATTTGACGTGGTATCAGCACAAATACTGCCAATGCAGTTTATAAAGGAGTCATCCAGTACACATGTAGCCAATTACTTCACAACGTTTGCATCTATTAACAATTAAAAGCCTCAGCCTGCCTTCTGCTTCGTTCTCACCTCTTCTACATTCACCTCCCAAATTTGCTCCCCTCTGCTCCAAATTACCTCAGTTACATGAAATCCATTCTGTTTCAACACCACCTCGAACTGAGATCGATGGCAGACTTTATTCCGGTGCCCCAGATGTTGCGCTAGCATTTCTCCACTGCCACCATATGCTCTTCTCCTATTTCAGTCTAAACAGGCAGAATCAGGAACTAACAGGTTAGATATCAAGAAATATGCTGCCTAATCGTAACAACTGCCTTTATTTGCTGTTTCACATCGCTTTTGGAACAATAAGAAACAATCAGAGCTGACATGACTTTCACAAACAAGCTAATTATTTGATCTCACAAACAGATCCCTGCTAGTTTGGCCGACCTTGAGAACAAGCAACAAGCTTGTGTTGTAGAACTGTGTGTGTGTGTGTGTGTGTGTGTGTGTGTGTGTGTTGTGTGTGTGAGATGGGGGAAGAGAGAGGGGGGTGGCATTGGCTCTACAAACTATAATTACACTCACACATGCAGACACACCATACCACACACAGGCATTCCTCCCTCTAAGCAGCGGCAGAGGAACATAAGGAAGCAGCGAGCTCAGATAAAGGCGAGCAGGCTGGCCTGTGCTGCTGCGGCACAAAAGAGTGTGAAAAGCAGCGTGCAAAGAAAGCAAGAGAGATGAGAGCGAGGGATGATGGTTTTGTCCTCTGTTTTCCCCTCCCACTCCCTGCATCGTGGCCCGACGGCTCCAGTTTATTGTATCCTCAATGCCCGGGCCCTTCAGGTAGATGTGCAGGAGATGTATAGAAACCACGTCTCTCTGACTGTCCATGAAAAACAAACTGCTGATATACATGACAGGTGCATCTGGTTTATTCCTCCAGTTCAATGTGGTGCTGTTTTTGCGTTAGCGAGGTGTTTATTACGGGCTGCCCACCTGCCGTTGTCTTGAAATGATTTTTTTCTTGATCCAGGCGACCAATAGAGGCTTACAATGCTGATTTTCTTTTTTGCTCAAGTGGTCTTGACAAGAATATTGATTTGAAGGTGTCCACACCAACTGATAAAATTGTGTTCTACCACATGTGATTAGAAAAGAAAACTACTGTGTGAAGAAAAAAGCTTATTTTATCAGCAATTCATTTTCACATGTGGAAAACAACAAACTAGGTGTACATTCACTGGAATGAATGCACAAAAATACAGTAATATCCAAGGTGGTGATACATTTGTATTTGCCAAAGATACGGACAGTATGCAGAAGATTACAGATATTAGATTTTATTTTTATTTTATTCTATAATATGATATGATATAAAGATCTGGATACAGATCCACAAACTTGTATACCATTGGATTTTATCTCCAGCATCCAATGGAAAGAATCTTTCACAATGCGATAGCTGCAAATATTTAACATCAAACATAAAAAGGTATGTGAAATTAACTTCCATCCATTTTTTTTCAAGGATTTTTATGTTCAAGGTCAATGCTGCATATTTTTTTAATTTGTCCGGGTCAGTGAATGCAACACCACATACACCTCTACACCTCTACAAGTCAGCGAAAAGGTATAATTTCATGACTAGCTTTAATGCTAAAGAGGGTACAGCTATTTATAGTTCATATATTGTTCCACAAAGTGTTGACCATAAATGTTATACTGTAGTATGGAAAATTTATTTTTATATGAATCTGTATGTCAGTGTTTTGTTGACTGGAGTTAATATCTTTTCAGAATACTTAAACTTAATATATCTCTGATTCATTACTACTCTAAATAACCAACGCTACTTTTATTGACTCTAATTCAATGTGCTTTTTTATACCTTCATAATTTGTTAAATACATAGCAGCTTTATTTCTAAGGAGGAAATTAATAACTTCTCTGAAAGAGAATGACTCTGAAGAAGTGAGCACAGAGTTTTTATCAAATGCTGTGACCTGTAAAGGGTTATAAGTCACGGCTTCATCTTGATTAAAACTAAGGAGACACCAGAAGCAGAGTGGCACAGACATAAAATCTCACAGGTTGTACTTTATTTTTTCCAGAGTTTACACTTGCTATTTCTCAAGTCCTCCATTTTGAAAGAGTGTAGATAAATCAATCTAAATTGCATCTTTCTGCTTAAATGCATGAGTGAAGTATGCCACCCATGCAGCAACACTTTCACTGCTTGCTTTGTTTATGAAGTGTCTGATTGGAATACATCTGTTCCCCTCTTACATTTATCCTCCAGGCTGTATAACAAGTTGCAGTGTGTCACAGTTAAGCAGGTTTTTTGCTTATTTTGAGCCTTCAGCATCTTTACTTAAATTCCTCTGTGAACACTGAGATGAAGCAAACTATTTTGTATTTTGATCAGTTAACAAAAGTTTCTTAAAGCGTATTTTCAAACTAGAAGTGAAAAGAAGTCAGGGAATGTTCACACTGGCTTAATAGGGCCCAAGGTTGGAGTGAAATGAAAGACAGATCATATGCTGTGTCGCTGAATGGAAGATGAATAAATTAAAGAAAATCATGTGACCTTCAATGTCCAAATAAACGACATTGAGGTTACAGTATCTGTAGTGCGCAGTGGATATGTAATCGTCTTGTAGCCTGATACTGTAACTCTCAGCCCTATTCGTGCTGCTGAAGGTTGCAATTAAGTTACACAATCATATTTTTGAAGCGAGGGTGAAAGCAGGATACAGATTATTTTTACTACTACATTTTCTGAACAAAGCAGAGCCCCATATTTTACAACAACAGATACAGGACATACAGGGCTGTGCACTAAATGTGTATTAGGGGGCCCTTTGTGTACTGTCACAAGCTAAGACTTCATTTCTTACCTCCATAGTAACCGTAGGCCCCAGGTCCTAAAATGTCTGGATCCTCCAGCCTGCCTCCCAGGGGCCTCATCCTCCTCGGGCCCCTGAAGAAGGCGTGCCGTCGGGCTCCCAGAGCACTCAGCTGCTTCATTCGTCGCTCTTTGGATCTTCTGTTCTGGAACCAAACCTGCATCAAACCAGAGAGATTGGGGGGGGGGGTCACACTTACATCAGCTGATCTCTTCATTTCAAAACCTCAGTCTAAAATCTTGAACTGCGGCCATTTTCCTTTAAATTTCAGATTGCACGTCACCATTCCTCAACCACTGTTTTCACTCAAACTTCTGTCATGCTAAGAGTGCAAATCATGTCGTTGTAAGATTCAGACTCTGATCACAATCACGACAGGATTCAGTCTGTTGCATCTTTCAGACAAAACGCATGAAGCACAACTAACAGAACTGAAAATAAATTAGTATCAACTTAATATGAATCTTGATCATTTTAGGTAATTTCACCGATTTATTCAATTTCATGCTCACTGTTACAGAGTTCGCCTTGGAACCATGATTCAAATGGAACTTTTCTGATAGATTTGAGCCTGGAAAATTCATTTAAAGGGCTCTTATTCAAAACATACAAACTATTTCTTACAAAAGACAAAAGGTATTTTGCTCTTGGCTTATAATAACTACAATTTTCTGTCACCATTTTGAAATGTATTTTACGGTATAACATTTAGTTGTGGCCTCTTTTCACTCGTGCTAATTGAGGTTTAAATTCTTGGATCTCAGCATCAAAATGGCTAAAAACCATCTACGTTTAACTGTTCAACTCTGGTAAACCATTAAAAATACAACTTAGATATGATCAATTTAGTGATAGCAGAGAAATAAATGTTACAATATATCTGGAAAGCACAAAAAAGTATCAACGACTAAGTCACAAATTAGGAAGAGCATAAAGATGCTCCGTTTGAAATGAAGTGTCTTATCTATGACAGAATATAATAAAACACTCTTTCTGCTGCACTTTTCAGTCATGAATGCATTTTCCTGTTGTAAAAATAAATGAATGGCAAAATAATTTATATGCACAACCTAATGCACCTCCACTAAAGTTTAAATATAAACAGTCAGAGCAATAAATCAGTGTATAAAAAGGGCTTATCACTAACGTTAAATAAACTGTCTTTGAAGAGGAACAAAGGAGGATTTCAGAATTGGAAAACTACACACCATATGGAAGAATGTCTGCATTATAAGCACATAACACATCTTGTTTCGCCTTTGCATCACTGCTGCATAATGATGTATGTTCACCCCAGCTAGGCTACACCAGAGGCAGAATCCCACTGTGCTGCAGATTAACCAAAACACACACACAAAAACACCTAAAACCACTTAGGCTCTGTTCTGTGTGCTCCAGCGGCAAAGGCGACACCTGCTTATTGAGAACAATCGTCTAACTGTAGGGTACATTTTTATGGAAATGCTCTCGCTCCCCTCGAGAGAGCGTTGCTTAGGGATTACATACACATGCTGCTGGAGAAGCAGCGTGGCTCACAGGGCTCCCCGTGTTGAGAGCAATGGTATTTAACACACACTGAACGAGGAGGAAGATGACGAAACAGAGCCTCCATTTTGGCTCCGAGCAACACAGAGGGGTGGGGATCACGGATGGAGGGATGGACTGCCCGCCTGCCTGATTGATTGATTGATTTATTGACTGTTTGTTTGAGCTCTGTTGATTCAGCTCTCTCTCTCTCTGTCACACACACACAGCAGCCTGCAGTATATGATATAGATGAGGCAGTGGAGGGGCCCCGGTCTGCTCTAATAAGCAATGGGAACAGGCTGTAAGTGAGTAAGAGCAGAGAGGTGGGAAAGGGGAGGGTGGTATGTAAATCTGTGAAATCAGCGATAATTACAGTGAGTGCACAAAAAGCCACATCACAGTTGGCAGAGATGGTGCTAATCATCCTGACACAGTCTGCACCCAGACACCGGGTGTGTGTGTGTGTGCATGTGCACGTAAGTGTTTGAGACAGATAGAGAGAGGTCCAAAACAGTGCACGCTTGTGTTATACTGCAAAAACATGTTTGTGTGTGGGGTTCCTCTCGCCTTTGGCAAAAACAAAACTAACCTTTCACTAATTTCATGGCTGTGCAACACCAATGATTACTGGAATAAACTGCCGTCTGCACAAAATAAACAATATTCTTAAAAACAACATGCTGTTTATTATATCCATGCATCAATAAATTGGATTACTAGATCTTAATTTCAGAGAATAAATGAGCGCCTGCAGATATGGATACAGCAATGTGGAAACTGAAGGCAAATGCAATTATTTGAGGAATTTTTAAAAAAAAAGCTAGTGGAGTTTAGCATCATTACATTTGAAAACAATAGTGCATTAGATAAAAGTATCAAACTGTGTGCAAATTGATTTACAAAAGTTAAAAATAGAATAATGTAAAAGAGAAATTTAATTTATTTTAGATAATATTATTTAAAAAAAACAAAAAACAGAATTACTGCAATTTGATGTTCTGGGAGAATATAAATCTCTCATTTGGGACAACACTCTGCTTCCACATGTTTGTGTTTTACTATTAAACTGTTGTGTTTTTTTCAAATAAAAGGTCAAATGCAAATTAAAATACAAACTGGTCTGTGTTTTCCACGTGTAAAAGCAACTATTATAATTTTAGAAGTCTCTTTCTATCATTAATATTTAAAAACAAAAAAACAGACAATTATAATGTGGATCTATATCCCTGTTAATGGAGCACATCATGCTCTGACATTCCTCCAACAGATAACGAAGCCTTCAATTAAAACCTCTGCGCATTTTGAGCAAAATTAAGAAGTAATTCCACTGATTTATAATCCGTCATTTCTCTCTAATTTGTCTTTGTCTCTGCAGATCCTCCCTCACACCAACGCACAAAGACTCCACAAAGACCGAGCCCGCCACACAGCTGATCTTACCTGGATGACCCGCATGTTCAGTCCCGTTTCCTGGGCCAGCTGTTCTCGGATGTGCCGGGTCGGCTTCGGCGTGGCGACAAACGCGGCCTTTAACGTTTCCAGCTGCTTGGCCTTGATGGTGGTCCGGGGCCCCCGCCTTTTGGTCCCCGAGTTCTGCTCCTCATTCTCAATATTGTTCGTTTCCTTATCTGAGGACGTTGAATTGTCCGTCTCTTTTATGTCGTCCTGTATTGGGTCCTGCAGATCCGGCGATAAACTCCTATCCGTACACGACGACACTGGGGGGGGGGGAGGGAAAACAAACAAGAGGAAGGTCACGATCCGAAATGTCAGGGAGGAGGAGGAGGGGGGGCTTTAATTAGGCCTTGAGGTTCAGAAGCAATACAGACTACACTGGAAAATATTATATTTGAAATCGGTCAGAAAAGGCACTTAGTATTTGTTATTTACAGAGCTGAAATTTCTTTTTTTTTAAAGCACAAATTGAACCTGGAAAGCCGAATATTCCTCCCTAAAATGCACAAACATAAACTGCACACTGATATAACACCTAAATGAATATATGTATGTAGGAGATCACAACATAATGCGGCTGTATGGAACAAGAGAGCGTGGCAGCATCAGTACACAGGGCGTGGAGTGGGGTTTCTGTAAGGATGAACAGTGGAGAGAGGAGCAGCAATAACATCCCCAGTGGATCCTGGCGTACAATAACAGAAAGCCATTGTCCTGCGGAGGTAAATATTGAAACCATTCATCTGAGAAACGCTCTCCACGGACTGCTGGAAGTGAATCTTACAGCACATGTAAAAGCCTCCACCCCTGTTTGTCTTTTGTCCCCCTGAAAGGCCGGTTTCTATTTTATTTATTGGATATTTATATAATATTCATCCACGTATATCTTCCATAAAAATAAAAAAGGGATGTGTTTGCTTTTGGAGATCGAATCGGAGACAAAAAAATAAACAACAACAAGAACAAAAAAACCACCACGCACACATCTCGGCTTATTATTCATTACCTGAGTTCAAGTTGACTTCTTTAATGGCCCCGGAGCTCACATAATCTTCTTTGCACACAAACTTGTTTTCGTCTATCACATAGAGTTCCTCTCCCGTGGACAGCTGCTTGTTACACACCATGCAGGTGAAGCAGTTCAGATGAAACACCTTGCTGCGGGCTTTGCGCACCAAGTCGTTTGGCGAGATTCCCTGCAGACAGCCCGCGCATTTTGTGCCAAACCGCCTGGAAAAAAGACCCAAACATTCGTGTGAAAATTATGTTTTCTTTTTAAAAAAACAAACAAAATCAATCTGTTTAGGCCCACACATAACGATATAAGCAGCTTAGAAATTATTCAAGCCTTTGTTTGGACAACAAAACATTATATAATTATCATTATTCCTTTTTTTTATGGTTCTTTTATGTCGATATATGTGCGTAAAACGTCAAATATAATATCATAATAGTTGGGTAGGTAAGCGACATATATTGGCTTTTTTAACAAAAGTCAAATTATAGAAATACCAGCATTAAATAATAATAATAATAATAATAATAATAATAATAATAATAATAATAATGTGCTTCTTAATTCCCATTTTAGTAAAAGCCCGTATTAGCATACAAGTAGGCTATTATGTAATAAGTAAACAAAAAAATAACAATAAACAAAAGCCTGTCTGACTGAGAGTGTTAATGGAAGCGGCGGAGAGCTTTAAAAAAAAAAAAACAACAAAGTCAGAGTTTCCTTTTTTTAAAAACTGGAGCCAGAAAACCCGCCAGCTCATTATTATTTTGATGGAGGTGCTCTGACAATAACCCCACGCAAAACGTATTAGTGACAATCAACACATTGTAGCCAAGGATATATTATAGGATTAAGCAGAGTAGGAGCATCTTAGCGTGAAAATCTTCTCTTAATCCATATTCACCCGCTTAAATACCGGGAGGGAAGAGACTCATCAATTTGATACACAAATAGCCCCCACGAAAATAAACTCAGCAGAATTTACTCCTGCTGATCTGACAGGATGGAGTTTATTTAGTTATTTTCTAATTGAAATGAGGAGAAGAGGTGAAAGAGAACACAACTGATTTATATGTACAGATATTCCCTCACCTGCGCTGCTGCTTTTATTAACATGAGGAGTTTGAGCAGATGTTCGAGGCTCACACTGGGCCCAACTGTACCTGGGTTTTCAGGCGGCCTATCTGGGGTTAGGGGTGGGGGGGTGGGGGGTGGCGGTGGGGTGCTTAAGCCTCTGGGTGAAAGCAAGCACTCCTTTTGTGCAGCATTGTTTTAACACTAATGTAGGCTTGTCTCTCCATTTGCAATGGTATCGCTTCACTGTCCCCCCCTTTTCACATGCACGGCCAAAGCCTCCCCCCCCTCCTCCCCTCCCACCCAGCGAAAGGGCACAACTCTACTTACACAACAAATGGACATATTAGGGTGATTACTGTTTCGCCTGGCTAATGGCTGGCCATTTAAATCCACCGCTTGATGGGACCTGCGGTAATATGATGGCCAAGGCCGATCCGGGGCCAATAATAGCCCGTCCCGACAAAAGCCTAATGTGTCTTACATGTCATTAGACAATTTGGGAGAAAATAACTGACAAATACAAATGAAAATGATGCTAAGAGAGTGCGACGGGACAAACAAGGGCTTCACTTATCACTCAATTACCTGAAACACTTTTTAGGAATTGTGAACCGGTTAATAGCCTAATGGGTGTTTGGGGGGGATAAAAAGTGTTGTCTGGATGTGGAAAATAGATTCAAAAAGAGAGAATACACGTGGCTACACAATGAAATTTAATTTTTTTCGATGCCCGTTCTTTTTATTATTATTGTAGAGGCCCCAATAAAAGGCCACACGCTCCATTGTGTGAGCAGCATTTTATTTTAGAGACGAATTAAATCCTACATTTTGAACTAAAGGAGTCCTCAGTTATATTTTTTTACATTTATTCTACGTGGAAACGTGTTTTATTTTCACCCACATTCATGTTAATAAAGTGTTTCAACCTATGGCTCCATAGTTTGACCCCTGTGCTCACAGGATTTAAGTTCAGGCTTGACTTTCTGGGCCACAGTATTACTGCTGATATTGTTTCTTTTATTTACTGTTATATTTTTTATCATTGTTGCATCCATAGAAATATTGATCTAATCTTAAACTCTGGCGCATGTTGCTGGAATCAACTCTCTCTGTTACCTGAAAAAGTCCATTTTGCAATAGAGCTTCCCGTCCCTGGAGAAGCACTTCTCGGTGAGGTTGCAGTTGCACTCACAGCACTGGACGCACTTGGCGTGCCAGGCTCTGTCCAGCACGTTGAGGAGGAACCGGTCCAGGATGGGCCGTTCGCACCCGGCACAGTGGACCATCATGTCTCCGGCCTGCAGGACGCCGAGTGCCGACCTTCCCACACGGACTGCGCTGCTCGGATAACCCGGGTCTACGCGGAACAACGTCTTGGCTCCGGGAGGTGCGCTGTCAGGCTGAAAACTGGAAGAAGCTCCCGTTCAAAGGCAGCGGACTGACAATCCCCGGGAATTGTTGTAGTCCTGGTCCTGTTTTGGTGGCTGTCCTGGCACTTGTCACAATCCACAATCCAGAGGAGAGGAGGAGAGATTTCAGCCGCGCCAGCTGATGGACTGCGTAATGGACAAACCGGGCATGTTTTCTCACGAGCACACAGTTAAAACATCATCATCATTCACACGTGTTTATTTCGGATATTTCATCCCTTCGCTCGTGCTTTGTTTTGGGTCCAGTCATTTCCTTCGGGCTCACCTCACGTCGCCACTTTCAGCATCACTGTGCCTGGGTTATCACGAGGTTTTGCCAGCGCGACGCGCGTCCTGCGCTCAGATTGGACGACGCCCCTGTTAATTCCCGTTGCCTGGAGAGCCAATCAGAACACAGTTGTTATGGTTACACGTCCATAGCTGTATCCTCGGAGCCGCACAGAAATACCAGGGCCGCGGATGCTGCCTGGGTGTTTCTAGTGGCGCTTGTAGGGGGCCAGCTTGCATGTGGAAGGTTTCATGGCGGGTCACGGAGACACACCACTGCCTTTACGGGGGGGCATCAGCTGCTGCTTATATAGCGCGACCCAAGAACCTCCCCTGCAACATTTTGATCGGATCTTAAACTTGAAAGTCCACAAAAAAGCGATGAAGGTGTTAGGAAATACCTGCACAACAGGCAGGGGGGGCGTCTTTAAACGGCGGTGGCGCAGGGATGAATGTGAATAGACGCAATGGGAGTGGGAGTAGCCGAACAAGGGCTAATGCTACACAACCTCATAATGGCCCTGTGACAAAACGCTCCTGCATCACACTGTGGCTGTGCAGGGCGGAGAGGGGGGGGGGCGCGGGCCTTTTCTCATGCAGAAAGCTATTTACAGGGAAATGCGATGGATTAGCTGGAGCTCATCAATAGGGAGAGCCTGGTCACCCGGTGCTTTAACAGAGTGGCCACCAATCGAAGGGAATTTCAATATTTACCAACAGCCTCGTTTTGTTAGTTGCAGTTAAGCAAACATGCGAGGGGGGGCTAATTCACGCGAGCCGAGGGCTGAGACCTGTTTACGCATTTCGCTTTCCACGTTAATGACGCAGCGTTTCAATGACATTAGGTGTGAAGTTTGACTCATTTTGCGCGATTATGGGTCGTTCAAGACAACATTTAGAGAGGAGCAGATAAACAACAGGGCCACTGTTAAGAGTCTGATACTTATTATTAGTCATATTAATTAATTTAGCAGTTATTTTGCATATATATATATATATATATATATATATATATATTTACCAGCAGCAATTTGTTTTCTCAACGCCAAAGCACCAAAGTGTCTTGCTCAGGGGCTCATGGACATAAGAAGAATCAAACCACCAACCTTACAATAATGGCCAACCAGGATGAACACCTGAGCATCATGCAGCAGGGGCGGATCTAGAGAAATATCCAAGGGGTGGCATGGAGACTTTAAGCGTTGGCAGCAATATATGCTGATTTAATCGCAAAGAAATCACATATATCAGGATGTTCTTGGAAACCCCCCAAAAACATTACTGTGACACATCAGTGAAGCACTGAATAAAGATATCTAAAGGTGGCATTACATTTTTTTTATTGAAATTAAACTTATCAGTTAGTTTAAAATGTGTCCAGAATAGATTATTAAATTAAAAGTGCTAATTTCCTTTTTAACGTTTAAAAAAAACATATATATTAATGTGTTAAATTTGACACTGCCACGCCATGCAGGTCCCTTTCTTTCTTTCTTTCTTTCTTTCTTTCTTTCTTTCTTTCTTTCTTTCTTTCTTTCTTTCTTACTTTTTAATGTCCTCCCTGTAATGTCTCCTGTTTTTTGACATAGAACCAGATACAGAAGATGAAGTCTCCACTCCTCAGTATAGTGGCTCTGGGTACAATTAGTCCTTTCCTGTCCAAATTACACCCAAGATATAGTGAGGATCTATCCTCCAGGTAGCAGTGGATATTCACATGTGTATTTCAGGCCTTTGTAGAGACAAGGCTGAATGAGTTCCCCCCAATTATCCGTGCTCCTATAACGCAGTGTCCTTTAGCCTGTAAAACGAGAGAAGAAAGAAAGTGTGGGGGGGAGGAGGGTGGACAAAAAGCCTACGGTGGGAAAAAGAGCATATGAGGCAAATGCTGCGTCCAAACAGCGCTTGTTTGAATGTAGCCACATCACATTGTTCCAAACTCAAAAGGATAAAAAAAAAAAAAAAAAAAGCGCTGTTTGCTTTTGCTTTGCTCTGTTCTGCTGTGTGACACTCACCTGTGGGGGGGGAGCTGTCCGCGGTACCGGCGCGGAGGGAGCACCAAGGACAGCAACAGGCGTTTGTCCTTTCAGTGGGAATCCTACACCATCACACACTTTACGTCTTATAGCCTACTCTATTCTACGGGCATCATTAACATATGAAATGGATTCTGACATGTTGCTCTGATAGATAGAAAACTGTCTAAACTCTGACCTGAAGCGAGTTATCATAATAACATGAAATTGTATTTCAATCCTTCTATAGGGAGAAAAATAAAATCGATTTTTCACTTCTGCAAAACACTTTTGATGTATTTTCCTTCAAGGACTTTATATCTTTACTTCCCTTTGATGCTTCTTATGTTGTTTATCGGGACCCAAAGATGAATGTCAGTCTGCAGAGGTTTGTAAAGCACTGCTGAAGATGAGTCAGGGTGTAGTTTGGTTCTTTAAGGGGAGACTTTATTTCTCAGGTGGAGCGTAATATAACATATGGTATGAGCTGATCACATGAAACACAATGATTGGGTAATATCAAAGTGTATTTTAGAATACGATCATATACAAAAAATATTCATGCGCTGGCTACAGGGTGGCCTGGGGACTTTAAGAGGCGGCAGAAATGTATGCTGATTTAATGGCAAACAGTCACATATATCAATATTCGCTTGTGGCAAATCTAAAGGTGGCAATGGAAATCAAGAAACTGCTTTATTTCTAAATCTTCAGACATTTTTCATTGAACTTAGGCCTATTACTTATAGTCTGAAATGTAGCCATAACATGTCATTCAATTAATTTCACATGTTATTTTTAACATTAATATAAATGAAGGTGTTAAATCTGACACCAGACTGGGATGGCCAGGCATTTTTTATGGTAGCAGTATGCATGTCACCCTCTAGATCTGCCCCAGGAAGGAAAAAATCAAAAGAATGCATCCCAGGGGCGGATCTAGAGGTGGAAAAATGCCTGAAATGGAAATTAACACACATGATTTCATAATCTGTTGTGGACACATTTAAGTGATAAGTGGCTTAAGCTCATTAGAAAATATGTCTGAAGACTTGGAATTAAAACAATTTATTGATTTCTAATTATTTAAAATATATTCCTTCAGCGGCTTTTCCAAGCAAATATTAATATATGTGATTGTTTGCAATTAAAGGTCCAGTGTGTATTTAGGAGGATCAATTGGCAGAAATGGAACATAATGTTCATAGGTATGTTTTCATCAGTGTATAATCACCTGAATATAAGAATTGTTGTGTTTTTATTATCTTATCTACAGATGCAGGACATAGTTTCTCCTGCACGCTTCCTGTTCTCATTCCCAGGTCGTCAAATACAGACGTGAGCAGTGTTCAGTTAGTTGCAATCTGCAACTTCACCACTAGATGCCACTAAATCCTACACACTGGTCCTTTTAAATGACCACCCCTTAAAGTCTCCATGCCACCATTTGACCACCTGTGACTAGTCCCAAAGTAAAGCTCAAATAACAACTACATCCTGGAATTTTTTTTAAGTTGCGAAACCTCAGTGGTAAAAATCTGGTCTCATTTGCCAATTCACAAAACATTTTAGAGAAGCCTTCACAGGCTGGAGCACTGAAGGATGGATTGTTGTTATTCAGCGCATGAAATAAAGATCAGAAAGCCTTCGAGCCGAGAAAAAGTTATGGGGGAGGATTCATAAAGGAGTCCAAATCATACAAGAATCACTTTGATGAACTATTTTATAAAAAAAGCTTAAAATAATTTTGTTTTGGTGGATAGAAGTTTTGTTTGCAGGCTACACCACAACTGTTTACGCGTGTATACAGACTATTTCAACCCATATTTTTCAAGGACCAACATCTGAAGTGAGCATCAGCCCCCTTTCTTTGCTATAAGGCCTTCATGAAATATTTCTGGAGCAGAGCATCTCCGTCTCTTTGTCTCTTGCTTTCAATCTTTGTTGGTTTGTAATGCACCGAGAGTAAAAGGAGAAATTTAAACACTGCGTGCAATTTCCACAAAAACCCTGAACCCCGGTGTCCCTTCAGTACCAGCTCCTACTGAATCTGCGGAATCTAAGGATGACAGAAATAAAGGTTAGCATTTGAAATAATTGAATATCTGGATATATATATATATATATATATATATATATATATAAACAAGCAAAAAAATAAAATAAAAACATCTTCTTGGTGAAGTAGCTTGGTCATTTGTGGTGGTAGTTGCACACCTGGAGCTGAAATGAAGCCATAAAGGGGAAAAAAAGAAGGGATGGAAATATATATCTGTGTAGAAAAAATGTGCACAGATAAATGTGAGACATGGAGGAAAAAATTCCCCCCCCCCACCTTCAGTGCTTCACTCCGCTCCACTCTGCACCATGACAGCTCGGACACCTGAGCAGACCGGTTCCTCCCCTCTTCTCCTCCCTCCCCTGCAGCCGCCATTCCATGCATGCGGTGTCACCCCAACCCCAAAGATACACGCAAACACACACACACACAGGCATCCACGCTCACTCACACGCACGCTCAAGACCACCTCCAGGGCCCCTCTTTGGCAGGGCCAGTCCCAAGGGAGAGGTTAGTATGATGGATGTCTGATTGGTAGCCCTCCCTTAGGGCCTCCCTCTCCGTCACCTCTCTGCGCTCTGAATTAAAAGGCCGTTTGTCTCCTCTGAGTCCTCAGCTGTAGAGCGCCGGCCTGCAATTTCACAGCACTCAGAGAGAGAGGGAGACCATTACAGAGGAGGTTGTCAGGGGAGCCATCAGAGCCCGGACACGCCTGAGGGACTCTCTCTTTCCCCTCCATCTTTCCCTGCTCCCGTCTCCTCCTGCTCAGCCCACCAACACCTCTGTCCCACAGGAGGCATCCAACCCTCCGCTCACAAATATATAAATATTCAAGGCCTCTGTTACATTCGAGCATCTATGCATCTATATGCATATGCACACCAATCATGCACACACAACACACGTCATTTGGGACTTTGGGTCATTTTTAAATCCATCCATATACAAAGGTATGAGCTTTCAGAGGAAGAAATAACATTCTTACTCTTGGATATGAAACCTTGAATTCATACACAATAAACATACTCTGCTGCCTTATTTGGTCTTAGCTAGCTAACTGTGAGAAAACTTTGCGATATAACTGACATTAGTAAGTCAGTTTGATGCTTAAGGACCAGTGTGTCAGATTTTGGAGGATCTATTGGCAGAAACTAAATATAATTATATTTTAATTAGTCTGTAATCACCTGAAA